GATGCATATAAGTGGGGTGACTAATTAATCATTTTGACAGGGGCACTTCTGAAGGTAAAGTGAGCACAGTATTGAGGGTCTTTATCAGGACCGCTTGAGACAAAAAATATTACTAATGGTTCCCCTTTTACTCCCCCAAACATCACTATTAGGTGATAAATTTCATGATCTTACTGCCTATAATAGTGCCTAGCATATAGTAGGTACTTAACAGTCTCCTGCTCTCTGAGCCTTCTAGGGTCCCTTTAATGGAACTGATCAGGTCCTTCCTGGTAAGGTAATTCTCTGGCATTGTGGATTTACAAGGCATATTCTCTAAAGCATTAGTTATTATCCTGATGGCAAGGGCTGTGACAACATGAGTTACAAAATTAGCCTCCATGAAAAATACTTTCTTACAGTTCTCTAACAACTGCTTTTAATTAGTGGAAATTTGGAGAGGTGAGAGTTGACATCTTTAATAGCATTTATTTCACTTTAAAGTGTTCTGCATATTAAAAGAGTTTCTAGTCAAAATATTGAAGATTAGCTTGGTTTGCTGGCTCACACCTCTAATCCAGGCACACTGGGAGGCCAAGGCAGGAGGATGCCCTGAGCTCTGAAGTCCCAGACCAACCTGAGCAAGAGTGAGACCCCGTCTCTACTAAAAATTTAAAAAAACTGATCGGGTGTTGTGGTGGGTGCCTGTAGTCTCAGCTACTTGGGCGGCTGAGGCAGAAGGATCCTTTGCACCCCAGGAGTTTGAGGTTGCTGGAAGATAGGCTGACACCATAGCATTCTAGCCTGGGCAAAAAGAAAATACTTAAGATTGTTGGGCCACACCCTGGTAGTTATTTTGTAATGACATTTTACTTAAACTTGAGCATTTGCTGACACATTATACTGTTAGAACTTGGTCAGGATTTTTTACAATAAGTTAAAGATAAATACTATAAGAAAATATACAACCCAATAAAAAATGGGCAAAAGATTTGAGCAAAAATTTCACACAAAAAAGATATACAGATGCAAATAAGCACACGAAAAGATGCCCAATATCATCACTTATTAGGGAAATTCAAATTAAAGCCACAATAAGATACCACATTTTGTATTTATTTGTAAAATGGTACAATCACTTGGAAAAAGTTTGGCAGTTTCTTAAAACTTTAAACACATACCTTTTACATGATCCACCATTCTATTTGTGGATATTTATTGGAGGGAAATAAAAGTATCTGTCCATACAAAAAAGACTTGTGCATGAATTTTTTTTTTGTTTTTTCGTTTTTTTTTTTTTTTTTGAGACAGAGCCTCAAGCTATCCCCGTCGGCAGAGTGCCATGGCATCACGCTCACAGCAACCTGGGCTCAAGCGAATCTCCTGCCTCAGCCTCCCAAGTAGCTGGGACTACAGGCGCCTGCCACAACGCCCGGCTATTTTTTGGTTGCAGCCATCATTGTTGTTTGGCGGGTCTGGGCTGGGGATTTGAACCCGCCACCTTAAGTGTACGTGGCTGGCGCCTTAGCCAGTTGAGCCACAGGCGCCGAGCGGTGCATGAATGTTTAATAGCAGCTTTACTTATAATAGCTCCAAACTGGAAAAACCAAAGTGTTCATTGATAAGTGAATGGGTAGACACACTGATGCATCTCTACAATGGAATGCTACTCAATAACAAAATAAGAATGGACTAATGAATAAGTGAATCACACAGTAACTTTGCTGAGTGAAAGCAGCCAGACAAAACAGAGTATACAATGTATGACTCTACTTATGTAAATTTCTAGGAATAAGATTAATGTATACTGACATAATGTATACTAGTGGTTGTCTGGTAAAGTCGGGAGGGGGGTTACATGAGAAAATTTTTGTGTGTGATGGATAGGTCCATTGTCTGCTTGTAGTGATGGACTTTAAAGGTGTAAATGTGTACATGTGTATGCATTATACTCTATGTATGTACACTTTAAATATGTATAGTTTGTATACAAACTAGTACAGTATATAGTACAGTCTATCAATCATGCTTCAATAAAGTTGTTAAAAACCATCCTGAATTTTAAAAGTTTTCCTCATCTTAAACACAAAGTTACTTACTGCTGCTCATTGAGTTAAATTAGAAATGACAGAAACTTCTGTAGTACTGATGAAACCCTGCGGGACCAACAATATTTTAAATGATAAGTTCCAATGGCAATGTTGGAAAGAACGTCAAGTACCCTGGGGAAGATAATAGTTGACCAAACAAACAAAAAGAGTAAAAGTTAATGTTTATTTTAAAACCATGTAAGTGGACAGTGGCACTCAGTACCTTTACACTGTTGTGTAGCCATTACCATTATGCATCTTTTCAGAACTTTCATCCCAAACTGAAATTCTTTTTTTTTTTTTTTTGAGACAGAGTCTCACTGTGTCCCCCCACCTGGGTAGAGTGCTGAGGCATCATAGCTCACAGCAGCCCCAAACTCCTGAGCTCAGGTGATCCTCTTGTCTCAGCCTCCCAAGTAGCTGAGACTACAGGTGCCCGCCATGAGGGCTATTATTTATTTATTTATTTTCAGTTTTTGGCCAGGGCTGGGTTTGAACCCGCCACCTCCGGCATATGGGGTCAGAGCCCTTTGAACCACAGGTGCCACCCTATTTTTTTTTTTTTTTTAGTAGAGATGGGATCTCACTTGTGCGCAGGCTGGTCTTGAACTACTGAGCCCAAGTGATCCACCAGCCTCAGCCTCTGAGAGAGCTAGGATTACAGGATTGAGCTACCACTCCCAGCTTTCATTATAAACCGAATACAAGTTTGAACATTCTACCAAGAATGACTTTTGAGGGGGCGCCCATAGCTCAGTGGGTAGGGTGCTGGCCACATACACAAATGCACCAACATAGGCGGGGTTGAACCCTGCCTGGGCCTGCTAAACAATGACAACTGCAACAAAAAATAGCCGGGCATTGTGGCAGGCATCTGAGTCCCAGCTTCTTGGGAGGCTGAAGCAAGAGAATCGCTTAAGCCCAAGAGTTAGGTTGCTGTGAGCTGTGATGCTACAGCACTCTACTGAGGGTGACAAAGTGAGACTCTGTCTCAAAAAAATGACCTTTGAGTAGATTAAAATGATTTTTTTTTTTTTTTTGCAGTTTTTGGCCTGGCATCTGGGGCCGGTGCCCTACTCCTTTGAGCCACAGGCACCGCCCAATTAAAATGATTTTGAACATGTGTTTTCCACTCATGACAGGAGCAGTCAGGCTTAGAATGCCGCAGAAAAGCTTTGTAGGAGGGGAACGGCACTCTGTATCTTGAATCTGGCCGCCATTTCTCACACTTGTAGATCCCAAAGAAAAGTGAGTGACGCCTTGTGGATGACATATGGCCAACTGTCACACTACTGGAAAAACAGCCCAAACTGCTTGCTCCACTAATAGTGAGTCAATTGTGTCATCTTTGTGTGGGAAGAATACCCTAATTATCATCATTATCTCCGGACTTAGTTAGCAAATCATTTTTAAATCATCACTTTCCTCTCTACTTACCTCTTCCCCCTTCCTTCAACCTCTACCCCCAAGTCTTTAGGAAAATCCTTGAAAAGTTAACAGCTGTCCTTTTCTTTCTTTCTTTTTCTTTTTGGAAATAGAGTCTCATTCAGTTACCCTGGGTAGAGTGCCACAGTGTCATAGCTCACAACAACCTCAAACTCTTGGTCTCTAGTGATCCTCTTCCCTCAGCCTCCCAAGTAGCTGGGACTACAGGCACTGCCACAATATCTGGCTAGTTTTCTATTTTTAGTAAAGATGGGGTCTCTCTTGCTCTGGCTGGTCTCCAACACCTGAGCTCAAGCAATCCACTTGCCTCAGCCTCCCAGAGAACCAGAATTACAGGAATGAGCCCCCACGCCCCCCAGTGCTTTTCCTTTTCAAGGGGCCTCATTCACTTCTATTCCAGGAAGGAAGCAGGTCGCTACACCTAGTTCCATGATCTTTTCTGGCACAGTACTTGGTAGCTGGCGTACAAAGCTCTCACGCTGGGATCTCAGGGATTGAAACCTGTCCTAGGTGTGTGATAGAAAGTGGTGTCAAGGGGTGAAGCTTTGGAGGAGGCCGACCTGGGCCGGGATACTTAGGTCTCTGAGTTTCAGATTTCTCACCTCTAAAATGGACACGAAGCCTGTCTAGCAGTCCTTCTGGGTCTGTAAGAGACATCTGGAAGACATCTAGTCTAGTACAGCGCCAGGAGCTCAAGTGGGTTCCCTGCCTCCTCTGTGTCAACTGACTTCCAGATTAGAAGAAACTGGTGGTTGGAAAAATGACTGTGAAAGAGTGGAGGCTGCTCTGGATAGTTATCTCTAGAAAAAGGGCTCCAGACTCAAAGAGGGCCCTTAATAAAAAGAAAAAGTAGAGCAACAGCCACCTGCATTTTTAGACTAGCTGAATTCCGGATAAAGAGGCTTGCAAAGAGGAGCTGGTGCGAATCCAGAAAAGGACTTGAAATGCCCCAGGCTTTGTCATGGCACCTTCCCCAGCTTTTTTAGCACTGCATTTATAGGTTTAGACAGAGTGAGCTCGAATTTGGCCAAAAGCCTTGACTGTTCCCGTGGCGGCAGCGGGGCAGAGGTCAGACCGACAGGTGTGGGGGCTGCGAGATGCGGGAGGAAGGAGCAGGTGTCAGTGGGGGCCCCTCTGGTCTCTGGGTCTGGCACCGGCCTCCGAGGTTGCTTCTGAAGGTTCCAGCAGCGGGCGGAGGGGCCACACACTGCAGTTGGGCGTATTGGGTCCCGCGCCGGGAGGAGGCAGATGGAGGCGGCGGGTCAGCGGCCGGCCAGGCCCGGTGGGCTTCCTCTCCCTCGGCCTGCCCGAGAGTTGCGGAGGATGCCTGGAAGTTGACGTGAGCCCCGGCGGCTGGAAGCCCTCCGGCGCCGGGAGCGGGGGTGGGGCCGGCCCCCTGTCCGCTGAGCCCAGCCGGGAGGTGGGGCCGCCTGGCCGCCGGCCGCGGTGGCGTGAGGGCCGGGGCGGGGGCCCGGGACCCGCGCTGGGAGGGAGCGCGGCGCCCGCGGCCCTTCAATTGGCCGCGCCGCCCCCTCGCCCGAGAGGCGGGAGGAGGCGGCCCTCCATTGGTCGGGCTCGGCGGCCAATGCCTGCAGGCCTCGAGGAGGAGGTGGGGGCAGTTCGTGGGGAGCCGCGGTGCCGGCAGGGGCCGAGGCAGCCAGCGGGATTCCGGAGCGGACCGGGAGGCTCTGCGGGACCAGTCGGACCGAGCCGCCGAGGCACTGCCCACGCCCCGCCGCCGTGAGCGACCCCGCGCCGCCCAGACGAGCCAGCGCCGAGCATCTCCCGCGGCGGTCATTCTTCAGAGCCAGCAGCGGGGAAGCCCAGTGCCATAGACCCCCGGCCCCGAGTGCAGCCTCTCCCCGCCGTCCGAACCACCATGACCCACTTCAACAAGGGCCCTTCCTACGGGCTCTCGGCCGAGGTCAAGAACAAGGTACGCCCGGACTGTGGCGGGCTGGCGGTACCCCTGGGCAGAGGGGCGACCCGGGGACCCCTGGGGCTGGAATGGCGCTGCGCCCCATACTCTTTGCCTCACTGCCTTCGCGCAGAAGAGATGTCCAGGGGCGCGAGCGTTGCTGCATGTTCCCGTCGCGCCCAGTCCCGGGCTCGGGGCCCGGCTCCTGGGCGCTCTCCTGGCTTTGTTCCCGCGCGGTGGGCCGGACTAGCGGCGGGCGGTGGGGTCCCCGGCGCCTGGAATCCGGCGACGCCGGGCTCTCTAGCTGCGGGGGCTGCTCCGTGTCTGTAGGATGCGCCCCTCCGGGAAGGGGGCGCTCCTACTTGGTCCTTCGCCCTTAGGCGGGGCCCGTCCGCGCGCCTGGGGACCCATCCAGCCGCCGCGGCCCCCGCCGTCCGCCCGGCCCAGGCTGCGGGCGGGCCCGACGCCGCCTCCCGCCTCAACTCCCCGGCCGAATTCAGCTGCGAGTTAGGCGGTTACGTGGCTAACGCAGGCTCCTCATTGTTCCCTGTCTCCTTCAAGGGAAGGAGACCGCTGAGTGTCCCCCCGATCCAGGGCCCCGGGAAGAGCGGGAGCCGTTCCGGGACCCCTTAAGGTTCCAGAGTCCCAGCGCCTAGAGGCGCGTCGCTGCTGCTTCTGCGGGAGACGGAAACAAAGCCCGAGCGCGCCGCCGTGGGAGTTCCATCTGCTGTAGACTGGAGACTTTATAAAACACCTAGAAGTTCGTAGGACGTTAGAGTTTAACGATATCAAGGAATGTTTTTGCGGGTTGCTTTTGTCTAGGGTCTATCTGCTGAGGCGGGTTGTAATTTGGAGTGTTGGGATTTGGCGACGCTCAGCTTTTCCACTGGGCATAAGAATGCGCTGGGTTTATCTTTGGGACGTTTGACCTGGGAAAGAGATGAGAGGCGTCCCCCTCCCCAAATCCTCTCCTTCCTTCCTCCCTCCCTGCATTCCAAGCCCATGACATCAGGGGTTTCTGGAGGGGGGGAGAGAGACCAGCCAATCGGCGCGGAACTGCGCACAGAACGCTCATTGTCTCCTTTCTGCTGTACTGGCCAAAGCGCCACAAAGGAGGGCTGCTGTGGTTTAATTCCCTTTAACCTCCCGGGAACCGCGGCTGTCAGGATCGCCACCTCGCTGTCCGACCGCCGGTAGAATGTACTGGCGTTGTCAGATCTGTAACATCCCGGTGCTGCGGGCGCGGGCGGTGTAGAGTGAATTATGTCGGGGTAATGAGGCGCGCGGTGCTCAAACCCCGGGGGAGAGCTGTGGCTCTCGCGTAGTCTACGCATGGTATTTTATACTTTAGTTGTTAATAGATTTTGAACTATCTTTGAAGCAAGGAATTGATTTCAGTCTTTTTATCTAAATCGAATTGTTTAGGTCTTTTTAGCCTTTCAAACGAGCTGCCCCTGTTAGAAAACAGTTTCCTAAGCATTTTTTTCAAAAGAACAGAAAAGTGCGTGGTTTGCATATGATTCAGTATAAACTTCACCCGCTGAACACACTGTAGCAAACGATCGTTCCCTTCCTTCCAAGGTTTACAAATTGAGTTTTAGGAAGGCTTTCAGAGGAAATCAGTAATCCCCTGGCCTGGCTTGTTGCGTTAATTGTAATTTGCCCCAGCGAATCTTGGCTGGCAGCAGATGAATCTCTTTACTACCCTTTGCATTGTAAATGAGGTCCTGATAACTTTGGCAGCCCTTCAGGTGACTCACTTTCTTTGGATGTTAATATCCACGCTAGTTTTCTATTTGCTGACTAATGTAGCAGTTCGTCCCTTCTCCCTCTTACTGAGCACACCTAGAGAAGTGAGCACACAGGCTAGATGGCTAGAGTTATTATAAATGGTAAAAAGCAGTGAACCCTAAGCTTTCAGAACCTTTAGAAAGTTAGTTGATAAACACTGAATCCTTTTAAGCGCCAAACCCTTTTTTTTTTTTTGGAGACAGTCTCACTGTGTCACTCCAGATAGAGTGCAGTGGTGTCACAGCTCACAGCAACCTCAAACTCTTGGGCTTACGCAATTCTCTTGCCTCAGCCTCCCAAGTAGCAGGGACTACAGGCGCCAGCCACAACACCTAGCTATTTATTTTCTGTTGCAGTTTTGATCATAATAGCAGAGCAGTACTGTAAGGTAGGGAGGTTTGGTGGGATTATCCAATATCATTTACAGAACAGTACACTGAAGTTCAGAAAGGGTGTAATTTGCTCAAGGTCACAGAAGACGGAATATTCTAAGATTTTTGTTTTAACACTAAATGTGATGTTTTCATATAGTGGCAGTACTTAGGGATATTCTTTTTTTTTGCCACCTCCAGTATATGGGGCCAACACCCTACTCCTTTGAGCCACAGGTGCCACCCAACTTAGGGATATTCTTTTATACAAGTCTGTCCTCCCCGCATTTTTGCCATCTACCTGTCACTTGACATTGTGGTTATTCATGTAATGCTGTTTCTGATCTGATCTGTTCTGGGCTTGGAAATCAAATATTAATAAGATCTTTGTGTGAGATGGTGTCTTTTTTTTCCTCCCCTTGGGACAGGGTCTTGCTTTAATACCCCGAGCTAGAGGACGGGCTAGATTGTAGTGCAATCATAACAGCTAACAGGAACCTCAAATCCACAGGTTCAAGTGATCCTCTAGCCTCGGCCTCCTAAGTAGCTGGTACTATAAGCCAGTGCTGCCACCATACCAGCTAATTTTTCTAGTTTTTGTAGAGACAGTGTCTCTTTATTTATTTATTTATTTTATTGAATGGTAACTATGTACATTAATGCACTTCTGGGGTACAGTGTGGGTTTTTCACATGCAATCTGAAATACTTCCATCAAACTGGTCAACACAGCCTTCATGTCATTTTCTCAGTTATTGCTTTAAAACGTTCACATTCTACTCTTAGAAAGATTCACCTGTACCCCTATAAGAAAAACCTCAGAAGTAATCCCTCCAAACCCCCTCCCTCGAGACAGTGTCTTTTGTTCAAGCTGGTCTTGAACTCCTGACCTCAAGCAGTCCTCTTGCCTGGGCCTCCCAAAGTGCTAGGATTATAGCCATGAGCCACTGTGCCTGGCTGAGATAGTGCATTTTGACTGAGGGTTCCAGAGTGAAGGGTGGATATATTGCAATGTGAACTTTGACTTTGCTTGGTAGGACAGCTTTGGTTTCCTTCCTGTTTTTCTTTGTGTGTTGCATAATTGATATTGATATGGTGATTGAGTGCTAGGACCCCTCATCCCCAAACTTCATTTACCAAAGTGAAAGGAAGTCACTGTGGAGTAGACCTGGGAGTCCTGCACACCTGGGTTCTGGTCCCTCTCTGACACTTACTGCCTTGTATGATCCTGGGCAGTTATTTGACATGGTTTCTTACTCTGTAAAATGGGGGGAAATATTAGTTACCACCTCTATATACTGTGTGGTGGAGATGTGTCTGGCTTATACTAAGTACTCAATGACTATTATGTGTATATTATAGCTATTAGTGCTTAGCAATAGAAAGTGATTGGTATTGTAGTTCTTGGATTTGTATGTCTCTGTCTCTTTAAGTATTCAGTTTGTATTAAGAGTTTTTGGTCTTATATTCTAGCTGTGAAAGTAGCTCATCAGCGAATTGATCTTAAATACTTCTAATGAGTAAAATTTCAGGGAAGAATCTTCAAGGCATTGTGAAGATTATAATACATGGGCAGAACACACAAACTTACTTTTTTAATAGGCAAAAAGATGTTTGAAACAGCCTAAAAAATTAGAATCAGCCTGGACTCTGTGAACAAGTCTCTGTAATAACAACAATAGAACAAAAGAAAAAAATGACAGTGAAGGATCAATAACTTGCAGTCTACGTGGGAGAGTAGAGGGCTAGAGAAAGTGTAGATCCTGCTGGGGATGGTTCAGCTGAGCCATAAGACGACGGGTCCTACAGGTATTGTATGGGGGGCCAGGCCCTTGATTCCATCTGGGTAATGCAAATGAGAAGTAAAACAGCTCTGTGCCTCTTCAGCCATGAAAAAGCATAAACAGGTCCTCAAGGGCAGCACAGCATTTCCTTGACTCTGAACAAAATGCTGGAATCAGGGCAGTTCCCCCTAAAGTGGAGGATGCATTGAAGCATCTCCTCAATAGATTTAGAGCAAATGCTACGGGAACTTTCATTAGGTCTCTAGGAAAGTAAAAGGATGGGGGAGGATGGGGAGGAGGGAAGCCGAAATAATCCTACCTGGTTATGTTTTTGGGGAGGAGGCTAATGGAAGTATTAAGAAGAATGGAGTTGGAATGCTTATTCTTACAGTCTTCTCTCATGGAATGTCTGATTTGAGCGAAGGAGGGTCTCACAGAGTTTTCTTGGTTACAAAGTGGTATTCCTCAACACCCCAAAACTATTTTGTAAAACTCACTAAAATCGTATGGCATTGAAGAGTAAATGGAACAGTCATACAATAATAACTAGATAGGACCCGGACCCGGCACCGGCACCCTGTGGGGTCCTCCCAGCTTATCTGCCTAGTGCCTTTTGAACAAGCAGCTGCTCAAAGGGGACCTCAGATCACAGTAACCCCTGAGGAGGTCTGCTTTGTCTTGCTGCTAGAGCATCAGAATCTTGGTAAAAGGCGGAGGCTCTTGCCTGTAATCCTAGATTATGGGAGGCTGTGGTAGGTGATTGCTTGAGCTCAGGAGTTTGAGACCATCTTGAGCAAGAATGAGACCCTGTCTCTATTAAAAATAGAAAAACTAGCTGGGTGTTGTGGCACATGCCTGTAGTCCTAGCTACTCAGGAGGCTGAAGCAAGATGATGTTGAGCCCAGGATTTGAGGTTGCTGTGATCTATGGTGATGCCATGGCACTCTAGCCTGCGTGACAGAGTGAGAGAGACTCTGCCTCCAAAAAAAAGAAAAAGCATAGATGGGTTTAGCTTTTTTTTTTCTTAACTTTAATATTTAAAAATACCTTTTTTTTTTTTTTTTTTTGAAGAT